CATCATATACAACAAAAGCAACATATATCACTTATTTGATAAAAATATTACTGTCTTCGTCGCTGGTAAAACACACACACACACACAGTACACACGCACAAACATGCACATGCATGCACAAACACACACACACAGAGGCACGTAGAGTGTATCATAACACCCACATCAGCCATATTTCATGTAGGCCTACTTCTGCCTTACTCGCTCGTCCATGCGTACTAAGACAAGAACGCACTAACATGTATACACACACGCACACATGCATACTCACACACACACACATTCAAGCACACGCACACACAGTATACAAAGACACCTACACACATTCACACACGTGCGCACACACACACACACTACAAGGACTACGTTCATTTTAACGAAGTACATTCTAGCCAAAAATCGATATACAAATATCTCCATATCCTCGATCGTACACAGCTGTCGCCAGCTACCTTGTACATCTTTTCGAGCCTTATCTCCGTCCTCTTCTGTATCAATATCTCAGGTAGTCAAACTCCCACGTCGCTAGATCTCCCTTCGTCATATCAAAGGGTGTTGCTTGAATACATTTGTGCACAAGGACGTTTTCTTCAATGTTGTTCAACATGCACTAACAGAAGTTTCACTTACTTAAATTCTGTGGTCGTCACATGCAACTTGCCCGCTATCCTCCCATCATTCTACTGTGTAAGCTAGAAGCCTATATTAGAAGAAAACATCGTGTATGTTGACCGGACCAAAATCTGATCTGGTTACATAATACACCCAGCTTCTATTATGTACATGGTGCTGTATTGTGCATTACCTACATATGTGCGCTTCCGATCAATGCATACTTTGCCTTAGAATACAACACAATACTGGGCCTGATACAGTCCGCTTTACTGTGGACCTTGTTAACAGCTTAAAATCTACAGCTATGAAGCAGTTTTGTCGAGAAGAAAACTTAATATTGATGAATTGTTTGATTTTAAGGTAGAGAAAATGTAGGAATATTTATAAACGTAAAACGCTTGCTCTCTCACTGGCTATATGTAATGTCGGCACCCAGACGTAGTAAACCCTTGAAGCTAATCGGCAACAAAACTCGACTCTAACTGAACACTGGGTTATATATACCCCATAGCAGCAGCTTGTACAATAATATTCGTTCACGTTCACAAATATAACAAAAGCAAGAATTATACATTATGATATGATAGACTCCCATATCAAATGTTGGGACTGCAGGGCATAGTGAACCCCCCCCCCCCTTACCTTGGGAGGTAGTCTCTTTCTCTCCTTTCTCCCTCCCGAAATAGTAAAACAAGCCGACTTATACAAAACCAGGCAACACTGACCATCATGACCTCAAGCATAGCTTCAATTGTCCCACGCAATATTATGTAAAGGGAAAGGGAGTCAGGAGAGATCGATAACCACCCTGCCCCCAAGTTCACGGATATGCCAGCGCTGAATACTGACTGACCAGGCCTCCCGCTTACAATATTATACAGTGAGAATATGTTTAAAATTTAAATACTTTTCATGTACATGTACTTCTGCGTCGTCTCTGTATACAAAGAGAAAATTCACTGGTGTGCACTAATTAGCAAATACAAATATTGTGAATTTACAGTACAACAACACGAACGAACAACACGAACAACACGAACAAGTACGACAATAGATCTAAACACTGTTAATGTAAAAAATTTTCTACCTTTTCTTTGTTGCCTTTCTCTTGTGTACAACCTACTCGAAGATACACCTATTTATAGAATCCTATAATAAGCAAGATCATGTTAGTGTATTATTTGGTTCTGTATAGTGAGCTGTTTTTGAATGACGACTCATTCGGACTGTCTAAGGCAGAGATTAGGTCCTCCGATAAAAATAAAATAAATAATTTTCACTTACTATAAACACCTACCTAGTGCCAGACAGAAAACGCCCCTCAACATGTCTTTCTATTCAGCTCAATATGTCACATATAAACCCCGCATATTTCACAAATTAAGGTTATGTCTTGAAATATTTAACGACCAGCACGAATATTTCTAGGTTGATGTTAAAACATTCATGATGTCATTCCAGATCCTTTTGTAGCAGTTTTGCAAACAGCATTGATTTGCGCATTTACTTCGAACTTGTAAAATTTATTTGAAATGGGTAACTAATTCTTATTATAGATATTTCAAAGCAAAGTTGCCCTTTCCTGATTTAATCGACCTACACTTACTGGAGGTCTTACCCGTCGAATAAGCAAAGCAATTGCGGTGTATCACATGTACATATCTGAATGGCGACCGTTTAAGCTTTAACGCCTTTGATAATAAAATGTTAATACTCAACTAATTTATTATTATTATTTTATTTTTTTTTTTTTTATTTTTTTTTTTTATTTTTTTTGAAAAGTGACTCGGGTGATCTGATAGGTATTTCAGAGGAGTTTTGCCACAAATGTCTAAAATTCAAGCGACTACAATGCAGATAGCTTACCTTGAATGTCGGTAACTATGCAGTCAATTGAATGTGACTTCAACGTTAAATGTAGCATAGTGTTTTTTCTATTTTGGACAGATAAATAGAGGGAGTGTGTATAATAATAGATCTGCATGCGGTCTGAGATCATTGTGGTAGGTGTTCCAGATATCACTGCGCAATTCGCATTCCGTAGCACATCCAGACGACTCCCTATCTCGGTCTTCTCTGTTGCAATGGCTGCCTATACAGGGGCTGGCTTACGAAGTGACAACAATTCGAAAACTAATCTAAATTTTCAGATCATACTAAGGAACAATTTTATGCTAAGACAAATCAAATGTAATTTAAATAAGAAAAATATTGTCTCTGTTTTATAACAGGAAATATACGGCTTATCTTTCAGACAGTTACTGACTTAAGTTACGCGGACAACTGTGGATGTACTGGTGTCTCATCATAATGTCGACCTAATTATTGGTCTTAAAAATTGGAGCAATTATCAGGAGAGAATACTGTTGAGGAACTGACCCCTGTATGGCAGCATTGATAACTATTTACATGTATCTTTGGAGCACTTGTAGTACATTGGTTTTAGGGCCGTGGGAGCAAGATGAATGCCCCCGCCCCTCCAACCCCCCGACAACTTCAGTGTGACTGTCCCAAGAAAACGACCTTTGCAGAGTAGTGATTCTATATACGTTTTTGCTACATCGATGAAACGCAATGCACTTGGTGAATAAATGAAATATTTAAAATTCAAGAAATGTATCGTAGGGTTTTATTTGTTTATAAATTACTAGAGTGGGCGTTTCGAATATTTCATTATCTTACCCAATAATTTCTGCATTCCTACACCATAATTGGGCAAATGAAAAAATGAGCTACTTTATCAAAAATAGCACAAAAATGCTACAGAAATGTTGAAAACCTCAAAATGAGAAAATATAGCAATAAAATATCCATTTTGTGGTGGGGGGTGACCTGTCACAGCATTTACCGCGTTAAATGCCAAATGTTTATTATACAAATATTTTGGACTATATAAATCAAAGTTGCGACAATGTCATATTTAATGACCAGTAAAAAGACGATTTCTACCATCAAATTCAGCCACCGTTTTCGGAAATGTCAATGCCTTTAAATAAAACTTTAATTCTAAATACTTAAATGATTGTACACGCGTTAATTTATTTCCGCCTTCCGTCTTGCCATTCCAACAGTTTCCCTCAATGAGCCCTTGCACGCGAAGACCAACAATGGCGCCATTGAAAATTCATCACGCCTCTCTAACCCTAGTGTCACGATGACTGTCGGGGAAATACATATTCCTCCACTTAGTGCGTTGTGTTGTGTTGATGGTCTCATACACGGCACGATGGCGTCCAATCACGGCCAATCTCGACCAATCACGCGGGACTCGGTTTGAGGGTACAGAGGAGTGGGTTGAAAATGGTTATTGTTGCTGGTTACGCTCTGGTCTAGAGAAAAACTGGTCGTGTCCTACCGTAATTACAATCAACAGTTACGCTGATCCAAGACCAATTGTCTAAACTGTCTTATTTACAGGATGGAATATCTCTCTGGATGGGCCTTGTTTGAATGTTTATCAACTTACATTAATTGTGTGAGGGAACTTGCATACAAACAACACTGCCACGCAGTGCCGCACACACTAATACGTGTACGCGCGCACACACACATACACGCACACACACTCACAGGCACAAGCCCCCCCCCCCCCATACACGCACACGAACATAGGACACGTAATCTTATACACTCACGTACAAATACAAGTGCTGTCGAATGTAGCCACACTCTGAACGCATGTACATGTATACTGTACATAAACAATCACACACACACACACACGTACACAACCATAGGCATCCTGCTACACCCAAAAACAATGATATATATATATTTTTCGTATCTATTTCATATGTAATTTGATTTGAAAAATACCTTAAATATTTTAAGTTCTTCAGCTACAATGCCACTTTCACTTCCTTTTATCGTACCCGGTAAATGCACATGAAAACCCTTATAAGATGTTTTGACATTAAGTAAAGCATAATTAACCAGAGTTCTTCAGTCCGTGTTATTTGCATTTTATACAGAAAAGTAACGATATTATGAAACTTCAGTAATATGCAGATTCCTCCTTGTCTCTACCTTTTAAGTAGTAAAAGTGCATGGTGTTTATGCGACTGCGTGTGTTTAGTTCACGTTTAGTCTCTTCATATAGTAAATTACCATATCAAAAACAGTTTAGTGTACCTTAGATCTATTTAGACTTTATTTCTTTTTAGATTTTATGGGACACTTATTCACGGTCCTCGTCGCGTATCGTGCCCCCCTTCCCCGTCCTCAGTTTTTCCAAACTATTACTCATAGATTTAGATGCCTGATGATGCGACAGCCGCTATTTGGCCTAACAGGGCCAGTATAGGTCATTTCCGTGTTTAGTGTATGATTATCTGGGAAGTAAAAACATGGAATTAGTAAGCAGGGGTTCTTTATTGTCTGGGTGGAAGGTATATATAGCCCGGACCCAGAGATTTGGAGCTAGGATTGGGCTGGGGAGCACTGGAGAGTACTTGTGTGCAGCCGAAGTGACCAGGGACTTCAAGTAAGTTTTTGTTTAGTTTGTTGGTCATTTCTTTTTAAGCACATGCAATGCGTGTAATTTTCAGCCATCTATATAAGAAATTTATTTTGGATATTTCAGCGATTTTCCTATCATCAATATGCATCCCTACCCAAAACCTAAAATTTCTAATTTTACTCAGTTGTATTAAAATCCCCCAATAAGCGTCTATCAACATGTTTAATGCAGCTCAAAGACTGAAACTAAAAATTGGGCATATTTGTCATGATTCAGTGAACAATTTTGACAACGGTTTGCCTTGGTATAAAGAAACAATTTGAAAATTCAAGAAAATTCAACCATGCTGTTTAAATCACCATATAAACTTTTCTATTTTTTTCCACAGCTATGGAAGGGGTAGGTTCCTTTCCTCAGAAAGGGGAAATTCCGATAATAGCCGAGACAAGGACGATCCGCCGTGAGTCTAACCAGAGATGTAGACTAGCAGGCCTGATTGTGACAGTTGCGCTCGTCCTTGCAATGGTTGTGACAGGCGCAATCTTCACTCTCCACTTCAGTCACTCAGCAACGGTGGATACCCTAAAGGTACATATAATATTATTAACCATATACATCATATAGATTAATATCTATGAACTATCTGATAGGGTATGCACACTATGTAAGGATGAAATAGAAAACGAATATCACTTTTTGTTAACATGTGAGATGTACAGGGACTTAAGAACAAAATATATACCAAACAGGTACACCTGTCAACCAAATATCCAAAGGTTTAGACAGCTTATGTCTTCCAATGACAGAGATTTGATGATTAACCTGATTAATTATGTTTATTATGCCTTTAGAAAAAGAGAATCTTTTTTTGCAACGGATAGTGCACGTACATGAGCTCTCCGCATGCGCAATAGTTACGTTATATGAACCATTTACATTTGTAATCTGGGCAAATGCCTTTATACGGAAATAAATTAATATATATCAAGAAACTATCTGATAAATGTATGTACATATATATTTCATAATCGTACATAAGTAAATTATATATTTTAATTTGTTATTACAAATTATTTGAGCTCTTAAGCATTTGCGCGTGCCTATTTCCTGCACTACAAAATACGTCTACGTATTAAATTGTGCGTGAGCAAACGTGTGTAAATGTAAAAGCCAAAAATCATTCAGGAATACTGCAGATAGACACTTCTTTATGAACATGATTTTACATTGGGGGTTTGACACAAATTTGACCACAGTAATCTCGCTGCAACATTTTAATACATTTAAATACCCGGTTAAGGTACAAAATATTATTTTCTGCGGCCCTTTTGTGTTTTCTCCATAATGAGGGGAATAAGGGTGGCTGAATATTGATTTTATTTGAAAGAAAAAGTGCAGAAGTTACCCAAACCCCACCCCACATCACCATCCCCCAAAGAAGTGAGAAATCACCCAGAAGTTTTATTTTATTCCAGGAATTCTCTCTTCGCGTCAGGGAAGGCGATCGTATCGTTGAGGAGAAAGTTGAGATCAGCACGACGAAAAAGTTGCAGAAGGTCCATGCACCTCCAGCCCCGGAGAGAAACCAGAGAGCAATGACACTCCTCCATGATTATAACCTGGTACGTACTGTACATATAGGACAGCAGGGACGGGACTAGAGATATTTTCTGACAGTCTTTTAAATTATCTTCATTGAACCATGCTTCATTTTGACCGTCTTCCGCAAAATAAAAATCTTTATACTAAAAAAATACGAGAATTGCGTTGGCCTGATGACCGATATTTTTATTACAGAAAAAGACGGCGATTCGTTTCGCAGACGATGACGCTTGCTACATTCGCGACATGAAACCGCAGACGACAAGTGTAATTTTAGAGGAAGTGAAGGATAGATTCGAAAACACAAAGGTTGGTGTTTATATAATTTATAAGATAAACTGTACTCATTTTCATGGACATTATATTTTCCACTTAATTGTTAAACAACCTAATATCGGATAGAGGACAATGACCCACAAAAACAAAGATACTTTACAAGATATTTCAATATTAAAGGCCATGAATAACAAAGGTTGTTCTTCGTCTTATACTCCATTTTCATAACTGACACATTATACAAAGATGGTGCTAATACAACACAAAAATGACCACAATTGTTTTGTAAAACTTGTAAAGACACTACAGCACGCACGCTGCAAGACCGTCTGTCACGAGAAAAGTGTAGTGTGGCAGTATAATTATAGCTATTATTATTTATTATTTATATTTCCCAGGGGGAGCCACCAGTGGTGTCTGCCGTGTATAATGAATATTTTGTCGCTCTTGATGTCCCTGTGGTAGATGACAATCTCAGTGAAGCTGTGATGGAATTTTGCGGCAACCGCAGAATACAATTATTATCAAGGATACCTCAAGAAAATAGCACAGGTAAGTCGAATATTTGGTCAGTAATGGTGAATTATATTGGGAGTCAATTTTAGGTCGCATTAGTTGCTCTCTCTAATACTCTCTTTCTCTCTCTCTCTCTCTCTCTCTCTCTCTCACACACACACACACACACACACCCACACACACACAGACACACACAGACACACACAGTCAGAGAGAGAGAGAGAGAGAGAGAGAGAGAGAGAGAGAGAGAGAGGGCTGCTCACATGCTCAGTATCTTACATTAGTCCAATTAACTTGCAATTATACAGTTATATCTGGAAGTAAATAATAAACTTCAGAATTCTAAATTGTAATGTTTTAGTTTTCCAGTACATCCGGACGGAAAATACAAATAAAAGCAGCTCTAACGCTTCACGTGTATTTTTCTTTTCTAAGCTTAGCTTATCGTACATATGTTTTGTTTTAGTTGAAGAAAACCAAGAAGACGTGGTTAAAAGTCGTGAGCGCCGTCAGTTGCTGGGGTTTCCCCCTCGAGGACTGCCTCATATGCCACCCCCTCACGGTCCTTTCCCACCATTCGGAGTCCGAAATCCTTACGGTCCCCCTAGGCCAGTCCATCCCTTCCAGAGAGGTCTTCCGATGCCAAACCCTTACCGACCTCATGTCCCCGGTGTATTCCCAGGCATGCCCGGTTTTGTTGTTCCTCCTCCTGGGATCCCTTACGGACATCGCCTCCCTTCCGGTCCTGTTGGATCTGCAAAACCAGGGAAAGGGGACAAAAAGGACGACAAGGGCATTCTGCCCAAGAAACCAAAGAAAAATAAGGGAGGGAAAGAAAAAAAGGACCCTTACGTCCCCCTTGATCCAGGACACGTAGTTGGAATTGGTCCAGTCGACCCTTACGTTCCTCTTCCTCCAAAAGACCCAGAGCTCAAACCCGGCAAAAAGGGGAAAGGGAACAAGAAGAACAAGGACAAGAAAAACAAGAAGGACAAGAAGAATAAGAAGAACAAGAAGAATAAAAAGAATGGCAATAAGAAGTGTTTCAAACAGAAAGCGTGCAAACTGAAGGAGGGATGTGAAGTAAAAACTGAGAAATATTGCGCTCAGTACGATCTCGGACACCGGGGGCCATGGGGTTTCTTTTTCGGCATTCCTCGACAAATCGGCAATCCAACTTGTATTAAGTGGGATTTCAGAGAGGTTAAAGACTGCGTCAATGTTAAGGAATGCGAAAAGCTCTGTACATAGAGATTGGTTCTTATTTTGGTGTCTTTATAATATCGTGGACATTTTTTTTTAATTTGCCGAAACAATTAAATAAAAAACAAATTTATTGTACGTGTACTTTTGGCCCCTTTTATTCAGTTTGCCTCTTTTTGTAAACGAAGTAAGCAAGGTTGTTTTACACAGGTTAGATACCAATAAGATATTTATGCATAAATTCTTATTGTATTTTAGAACGTTTACTTGAGTTTATCGATGCATTTACACATACATTCAATCTGGCTAAATCTCGCTGAATATCTTTCTCTGCTGGATCAATTCAAATATCTATTATAAAAAGGCATCCATGTCAGGGATACATTTAAATCACCTGTCATCTGGCTACGACATTTAGACCTGAACCGGTTCTAGTCCGTGTGTGGATGCATCCGGCAAAGGGTTAACTATAACGGTTGAAGTGTGGCGTTGGGCCCGCAGTGTACATGTACTTTCTGACTTAATGATCTTAGGGCGCATTCCCATAGATTTTAGATCGATCTATCCCCTTGGGGAGTCTCACTAGATTACTGTCAGGTAATCCGGCTTAAATGTCCGTCCCGCCTACTACAAGCTGTAAGGGGGTAATTTACTTTCGTGCGCGCTCGGCTGATAGCTATTTAGCGGGAACCCCCAGGGAGTTAGGTCAATCTAGTTGGATCGATCTAATCTCTGGGAATTGGGTCTTAGTTACAGCGGCTCCAATGTCCATGCAATGTTCCATGATTCAAGGAACACAGCGTGTGTGTCATTTCATCAGAACCTTCTAGTTCCGGGAATATGCTTGGAAATGGTGTTAGCTGGCCCAGTTTCTGGAAAGGTCGTGCTGGGTTTTAAGAACTACGGCATTGACCTCGGCGGGATTACCCGTCCCTGACATTTCCGTCACGATTACTGTAATTACACAGTAAACGTATAAAATTAAAGCTGATATAATACGATGTTCCATTTCCACAAATAGCTCTAGGCTAATGACTTGATAGCGAAAAATCTTTGATGTCAATTGATCTATTATGAGGGTAATGTAAGGATTAGATTAAGAAATTAATAATTTTTGATGACACTCAGACGGGGTTGACTACCCATGATCAGCAGAATCCCGAAATTCTGCTTAAAATAATCTTCAAAAACTGAGTCTTCTAACGGGGGTTCTTTTTTACATGAGCTTGTCTCAGCCTCCTGTAAAGGCATTCTGTTATAAATTTTAGGAGCATAACCATTTCTACATGGCGAATAGGAGGGGAGCAAAACTAGATTTAACTCTACTTATTATTGGACAATATGCGTCAGGATTTTTGTAAATATGTAAATAATATGATATAAGAGAAATAAAATATATAAAACAAAGTAGTATACATTTATGATTGATATTTATTTCAGTGACATCAATTTTTATTGATGACTTTCGAAGTTTTGAAGTCCCACCATTTCTTATAAAAACAATTTTGTCATAATGCTGTTACTGTAAGAGCAATTTCTCCGAACATCTGTGCCCCAGTTTCGTAATTTGGGAGAACTCTGTATTCAGCTGGAGTGTTTCGTGCATGTTTTCGTTTTATGATATGAAACGTGGTAGTTGTGTTCAACTCTAGGACCCATTATATTGTTTCCCAGTCCAAATTAATCTTCAGTTAAGTATTCCAAAGTATTTCACTAGAGTTTAGAAAAACTACATGGATACCTTGCAAGCTACTCATCAAATCAGATAACAGATATAAATCATAAGGAATACATCAGAAGATCAAAATAACCAAACCAAAATCATGAGTTTTCATTTGACGTCTGAGAATGACCAAAGCTACTTGTTGTTAGAAAGTTTTTACATTTAAGTTTTTTTTTTTTATTACAATTCTGCTTTAAGGATATTGTCACCTTTCGCCCAAACCTCCTTATTTACTGCCGTACATCCATTATTTTGGGTAATACACAAATCTTCAGTGATCAGTGACTAAATTAATTAACATTTACACATATGTCATCCTACGAGTGACGTCATAATTGCCATTTTGGGGTTAAAACTGTAAAAATCGGTTTCTCAAATTTCTCTTTTACCTGAGCACCCACGACCACCGTTTCAACGTCGATTTAATGACTATTTATAACCCCAAAACCCTGCCAGGATTTTTCTTAGACGTCTTAGTTGAGATTTTATCGTTGATAAAGCAAAAAATGCCTTTGTTTAATGAAAATCTGTAGTTAGGGGCTCATAACAAAAACATTTAAACCAAAATGACGGCACGGGATTGTAGCTTATTTATTCCTGGTCAACTCTGTGAATTTTCGTGATAAAATATTGTTTAGGGATAAAATTACGCCCCACACCAATTGCTATCTCAACTCAAAATAGAAAGGTTTTAAATGACGATTCAAGCTTTGAGTTGCCTATGCTTATACTGCGCAACGAAAAAATATATAAAGGGCAATATTTCATACTGTCGAGGGTTTTTTATTGTTTTAAATCAGCACAAAGATAGATGCATTATTGAATAATTAGATGCAGGAAAAAACTCATTTTCGGTATCTGGAATCATGAAGGGTTACAATATCCTTAATTGGCTTTTGATAAACGTTTCCTGAAAGCAAAATGATTTCCGATTTTTATAATTGGCTAAATAAACTCTTATCTTATCTTATCTTAAAACGAATGAAAATGATCAGTAGTTCTCATAAAATGCGACATACCGGATATAAGAGCGCGTTGTAGCTCGATTATCGCACAAGCACAGCCCGGAAAAACAAATCCTGATAATTATGTAAAATCGGCCAGTTTCCTATGTGATACGGCTCCTTGTTGCAACCATGCTCCAAATTAAGATTTATTGTTTGCCAGGTTAAAATACAAAGTTGACCTGCTGCACTGAGAGCGGTAAATTTAGCGGATGGTTGATTATTGAAAACTTTCACCTTGGGTTACGATGGCAAAACCTACTTATCCAATTTTTGCTTGTCAGTCAGGATTTTTAGACTGTAGGTCCCGGGAATAAACTCTGTGGTTCGTCATTCACATGGTCAATGCTTGCAGTGAATAGATAGCATTTTCAACATATCGTTTGCAAATAAAACTGTTATATTTAGTTTTCAGGTCTGTGTGGTATTATAATGAGCTCTAGAAACTAATGAAAAGTTATGGTGTCTTCATGTTGTTACTTGCAAGTGAAAGAAATGAGTAGGAAAATAAATTAGCCAGATTTAAAAAGGCTTCATCACATGTTTAATGTAAATGTAGTGACCATGTTATATTGTATTTATGCGGCAGGGGAAGACCGTGATTTCTTCGGAAACTGGTCTCCATTTTTGGAGCAAGGCCCCCTCAGTCAAGTTTTAATAATTTTAATTACTCAGAAGTTGAAGGCGAATCATGTTTTTTTCGCCGTTGAAACAATGAAATGAAATGTGCTGCAATGATGACAGCACGTAACACTAATTTAACGATTTTGATTTAACCTCTCTGAACAAATGCAGGCCCTCGGTTGTAGCAATATACCAACTAATCAACAAAATGGCGTACATGACATATAACGCACTCCGTAAACGGCTCTCATCCTTCATTTATGAAGAAAAAGACGTCTACACTATACATGTGCCCGCCTAGATTAGACACCGTTCATATTTAAAAATTAAACCAGCAGGATCAATCCAACTCTGCGGGGAATTCTCGCCATATTGCATTCAGCGTTTCAGCTAAATTGTACAAGTCACATTGCGTAGCTATAGGGAGTAATAAAGTTTCGTGTGCGGTCGACTGAATTACCCCCTAGCAGCTCGTGGGGGTGTGTCAGACATTTGACCCGTTTACAGCATCGACGTAGGGAAAATCTCCGCAGAATTGGATCGATCCAGCTGGTGCGATGGGTTTATCTGAATGCTCCCTTAGTGCTGTAATCAGTGGTGCTCCCCGGGTGATATGTTTTCATTAACATGACACCAGCAGTCGGCCTCTGCGTTAAAATAACACTGGTAGGAAATATTACAAAGCAGCTGAGCTTAGACGTATCCTGTTTTGGAGAGGAGTTCCGGGAACAGCGCTCATATTTAAGCCTTTTCATAAGTAGTACACGCTACACAGTTGCTTGAACAGAAGATAAAGACATCACAGAAGTTACAGGTCAGGAAGAGAAGATGTGGCGTACGAATGTTGCTGGGGTTTGTTTGGCAATGGTCGCAGCCGTGGTGATGGTCAACGCAGGTATTTAGT